TTGGGGTTTAGGGTTTAGGAGATTTATGACGCAAGGCTTTGGATACACGGTGTCTAAAGAGTCTAGAGTTGGGTTCACGCCAAGTGACGGGATTAAGTGTTTCCGGCAGAGGGAGTGTAGTTAGGAAAAGGTTGAGGGTTTTGGCGAATGGAAGAAGGGTTGGGATCAATGGCAGAGAAACGTACCATGAGACGTGATATCGTTGGCTACATACACGACATTACTCGCCACTGCCACTACTTCTACTGTGTAGTCCAACATGACACAGCACTGGAGCAACACGATGGGCCTTTCGAGCAGCAATCCCGAAATCTCTCACATAATATAGGGGCCTAAATAAACAGAATAGTGTTTGGGTGTATATGGGCTGGAAACTGGCAAAGCTCGAGAGGAAGTGGCGGTGGTGGCTACAGCTGGCAGGGCTCGGGCGGATGGGGCGGTGCCGGTGGTAGCAGCAATAGTGGCTACAACCGGGACTGGGGCGGCCAACCGCTGTCGAAGAAGCAGAAGCAGAACCGCAGGAAGAAGGCGACCAAAAGTGGTCAGGAGCGGGTCGATGTGCGGTGGGCGATCTCAAAAAAGCTGGCTGGCGTGGAATCGGACCTCCGCGCGGCTTTGCAGCAGGTGGACAGCCTCAAGGCCGACAATGCCCGCATGGACACGGAGCTCCAGGATGCCAGGAAGAAGACGGCAAAGCAGAAGGCCCATTCTGATTAGTTATACTTATAGTAAGGAGTCCCCAAAACCCTNNAACCCTGTTCTAATTTCTCAGGCCCCTACAGTACCGGAAAGGTTCAATGAGCCCAAGCCTATGCCTCAAGCACCCTCGCCGATCCTCGTCTCTCGAATTCGGATACGTGTTTCCCTAAGCTGCAACTGTGAAAGCTCTAAAAACGATCAGCCCCATAACACCATGTGCAGGTGCCCCAGTAGTTCCCTTTTGCCCTTTTACTTTTTGGGTTCCCTTATTAAAACCAAATAGTAGGAAAAAACGTACCCTTATTATTAAGGGGCTACTGGGCAACCTAAACCCTAAACTCTAAACCCTAAAACCCTACATCCTAGACCCTAAACCTTAGACCTTAGACCCTACACCCTAAAAGCCTACTGGAACCTTCTTCTTCTCGAAGCCACCAGCTTCCATCAGCCGACGCTGGGTCCTGCTTTTGCAGCTTTAAAGTCAGGGCTTAGGGGTTTAGGGTTTAGGGTTTAGCTTTTAGGGTTCAGGGTTTAGGGTTCAGGGTTCAGCCCTAAACCCTAAACCCTAAACCCTAAACCCCTAAACCCTAAACCCTAAACCCTAAACCCTAAACCCTAAACGTAGGGTCTAGGGTTTCGAGGCTCCGAGGACTGAGAAAAGGTTTCGTTTAGGAGTGCAGCCTCCAAGTACCCATGTAGGTAGTTCTCTAAATTAGGGTTTAGGGTTTAGGGTTTAGGGTTTAGGGTTTAGGGTTTAGGGTTTAGGGTTTAGGTAGTTCTCTAAATTAGGATCCCTTTTGGGGTCCTTTAAGTAGTCATGTAGGTAGTTCTCTGAATTAGGGTCCCTTTTGGGGGTCCTTTTTTATAAGGGTGCCGTACTATATTGGGGACCTGACAAGGGACCCTAATTTCGAAAACTACCCATGTAGGAGCCCCTAAGTGGGATAAACGCATCCTTTCTCGAGCACTTGGACCCTTAAAGGGCCTTAGGGGAGGGTACCCATATATAGGAGCCACGGAAAAGGGAAACTAAACCCTAAACCCTAAACCCTAAACCCCTAAATCCTAAACCCTATACCTTTACGAGTACATGGAACCCTCAGGGAGGGTCTTCGCTGTGTCCACCCAGTCATCTTGTCGCAGGACAAAGCGGCAGCACCAGACCAGGACGCCCGGCTATGTTATTTAAGCGAGTCCAACTACTACTTATGTGACATACTCGTATTGCAGAAACCGCTGTTCTTGTTGGAATGCTGTTGATCTTCCTGCGACTTTGGTGAGAACCATGTCAATGTCATTATTCTTGGTACTGTGAATAACCGTGCTTATTGCTGTTGTTACGAACTGTTCACAAAAGCTTATCATGGCTATGGCAGCTACTAGCTGGATTCTGATTGTTGCTTGTGCATGTGCTTGAGCCGTTCATGTTTTGCGATTCTATGGGGTTTTTGTTCTGGGGTGGTTGTGATCTCCGCCCCGAGCTTCGATGCAAAACAGGACGGCGAAACGCAGCAGGAACTCGACGAGAAGATCGTTTGGGGCTCAGCGTTGTCATAAGGGTAGTTCTCTAAATTAGGGTCCCTTTTGGGGTCCTTTATATAAGGGTGCCGTACTATATTGGGGACCTAAAGGGGACCCTAATTTAGACAACTGCCCAGATAAAGTATTGTGACAGACAGCGACAGACAGCCACACCTTTTATGGATTGCTTTCTACCGCTGGTTGAGAACTGCATGCCCGTTCCTGATTTAAGACATGGTCCTTAAACCCTAAACCCTAAGGGTCCCATTACATACCCCGCCTAACCTCCTATAACCCCTTAACCCCCGAAGCACCGTAAGCTGGGCTGCCTTCAAAGAACTTAGTTTAAGTTATCAGAACGGGAATATATAGTAAATATCAAGGAACTTAGTTTAAGTGATCATAATGAGAATATATAGTAAATATTAGGGGTTCCTTCAGCCCAAGTTACCTAACAGCAACCCAGGGAAGCCACCCTGCACGCCCGAAGTGCGAATTACCAAGCGCCGCACGCAGGCCAAAAGCAGAGCGGCGGCATCAGACCTGTGGTACAACCCGGAGGATGCACTGGTGTTCAACATTTCTGCGTATAGGGTCTAGGGTTTAGGGTTTAGGGTCTAGGGTTTAGGGTTTGGGGTTGAGGATGGTTCTGCTTTGGTCTTGGTTTGATCTGTGCCTCTGTGTGTGTGTGCACATGCTTGTTTGTGTTTTGCTTTCCTGTCTGAGGCTTAGCTTGTTGAGGCGTCTGATGGCCTGAGAGGGTTTCCAGGAACCCGAGAGACCACATCAGCACTAGCTATAAGCAGTTCATTGTGACGGCTTCTGCGACTTCAGAGGTCATCCAAAAAAGCCCCAAGGCTGTAACCTCACACAAGAGTCCTTACTTACAGCCTTCTAGAACCCTTAACATAGAACACTTTGTAGAACCCTCAAGGCCAAATAAACCCCAAACCCAGAACACGTATAAAATCCTCACCAGGGTTTAGGGTTTGGGGCTCAGGGTTATGATGGTCTTCAGCCCTATAAACCCGAAACCCTGAACCCCTCAAGGGTATCCTACGATAAAGACCTATAGCACCCTTCAATTTAAAGGGACCCTCTTATAGAGCCCTTTGTAAGACCTATAGCACCCTTTAATTTAAGTGGACCCTCTTATAAAGTCCTTTATCAAGACCTATAGCACCGTTTAAAGGGACCCTCTTATAGAGCCCTTTATAAGGCCTCTTTTGGGGGGGGCTCTCAGGTTGGATGCTGAGCAAGAGCCACCGAGGGCCTCATCTTGTATCTTATGAGGTTAAGGGTTTAGGGTTTAGGGTTTACGGGTTCAGGGTTCAGGGTTTAGGGTTTAGGGTTTAGGGTTGTATTGAAGGTTGGACGTATGGGCCTCTAATATGGACCCTTAGGGGATTCTAGGGACCCTGAAGGTACATACAGGGTGCATAGTAGGTGTATAAGGATCCCAGGGTTAAGGGCCCATACTAGGGGCCCATGGTTTCAAGCTTAGGTTGTAGTGCTGGGGTTCATGAATAGGGTCAACTGCTGTCGGGGTGAAGCCGTGAGTAGGGCAGCCAAACAGGGATTTTGTTTGCCTACAACGGCTTGAGTAGTGAGTAGGGTACCCCAAATAGGGATACTATGTCGGGTTCCCTTGCTTCTCCAGGTCCCTAAACCCTAAACCCTAAACCCTAAACCCTAAACCCTAAAACCCTAAACCCTACACCCTAAAACCCTAAACCCAACCAACCAACCCAAACCCCCATACCCGAAACCCCATTCGAAGCCCTAAGCTCTAAAATATCAAAGCCCTAGGCACTACTCTTGTTGGGGCCTCCTGGGTGTACTTCGGGCTCGGGGAACTTAGCAAGAAGGTCATAGGTGAGGTCAGTTGTGCGTTCAGCTGTCTTACCCAATTTGTAGTTTGGGCTATTTTTCTCGGAATTTGACATGCCTGCAAGCATAACGAAGATCCGTTTGCACTTGAAGGGTTGCTCTTAACCAGGGATAAAATGGGGTCCCAAGTACCTATATGGTAGAATGTCGGGTTTCTATCTTAAGAACTATTACTATGATTTGGGGAAATATCTATATACTAGGAATTACTCATATGATTTGGAGAAGTTTCTACCTTAGGAACTACTATTCTGGTTTGGGGAAGTATCCCCCATAACAGTACCTCGGACCCTGTGGGAGACTCGCTGCCTGTGTGCCCTAAACCCTAAACCCCCTAAACCCTAAACCCCCTACCCTGAACGCCCTAAACCCCCTCAACCCTAAACCCTAAACCCTAAACCCCCTACCCTAAACGCCCTAAACCCCCTAAACCCTAAACCCTAAACCCTAAACCCTACACCCTACTCGCTGCCTGGGTGCCTTCCTCCACGCAGCTCTGGACCATCCAAGAATAGAAATATGGGCCCCGAATATGGACCCTTAGGCCTTTCTAGGGTCCCTTAAGGGTATATATAGGGTATATAGTAGGTATATTAGGGTCCCAGGGTTAAGGGCCCATACTAGGGGCCCATGGGTTCAACCGTAGCGACCAGGATGCTCCTGACTACGACTCCTGGGATGTCCCAAAGGATGCCAAGGCCCTGCCAAGACTTTAGGGTTTAGGGTTGGGTACTGCCCCCTATTCAGGAACAGTTGGATCATATTTATATTATGGATATATTAGGCCGTTAATAGTAGCCCCAGTATAGACTGTTACTGTATGGGGGCAAGGCTTACCCAGAGGACCCAATACCCCATAATTAAGGAATATACCTTAAATTATACGGGCCTTAATCTTAGGGTTTCAGGTATATTCCTTAATTAAGGGCTATTGGGCTCTCTGGGTAATATAGGAGGGGCCGAAATAAGTACCTATATCATTTTGGGGGGTACCTTATCATAACCGAAATAAGTACCTATGTCATTTTGGGGGTTCCTTATTTTAATTCTACTATATATAATGGGATGTCCCAAACGATGCCAAGCCAAGGCCCTGCCAAGACTTTGGGGTAGTTCTCGAGACTAGGGTCCCTTTTTAGGTCCCCAATATAGTACGGCACCCTTATAACAAGAACCCCTGTTAGGTCCCCAATATAGTACGGCACCCTTGTAAAAGGACCCTAAAAGGCCTCTCGGCTTTAGGGTATTCCCTACCTACATCCTAAAGCTGTGAACGTTGAAACCCTTGGAGCTCTAGCACCGAGAAAAGTGCGCAAGAAAGAGTGGGTTTAGGGTTTAGGGTTTAGGGCGCTTAAAGCTTTGGTGTGTAGGTATTTTCTATACCAATTATGGATCGGGTTCAAGGTTTGCAGGCCTAAACGCTAGACGACAAACTCTGAACCTTATATAAGCCGCAAACCCCAAACCGTTCAGAGTTTCTGCGGCCAACTCGTAGCCAGCAGCACCTGAGACACGAACAAGAGCATCTTCAGAGATCCGAAACCCAAAAAAGTCAAAGCTGGCAGGGGCCTTGATATTATGATTAAAGGTCTATTCCTTATTTAAGGGGTATTGGGTATCATCTTCAACCGAGCCCCACACCCTCCTCTAAAAATGCCCTAAACCCTAAACCCTAAACTCTAATCCGAATCTAAAAAGCTTGCTTGGATGTAATTGGCGGAAGGCATCTTGGCGTAGGATTCAGGGTTGGGGACTGAAGCCCCAGAACGGTTTAGGGTTTAGGGTTTAGGGTTTAGGGTTTAGGGTTTAGGGTTTAGGGTTTAGGGTTTAGGGTAGGGTTTGGGGCACTTAGCCCTCAATCCGAAACTCCCAAAAAAGGTCAAAGCCGGAAGGCTCCCAGAGTACCCAGAGAACCCAACTACCCCTTAATTAAGGAATATACCTTGAAAGGGTTCCTTTAACGGGATCTATAAGGGTTTGTATAAGGGAATGAAGGAATGTACCTTAAAGTATAGGGGCCTTGATATATTGTGATTTAAGGTCTATTCCGTATTTAAGGGGTATTGGGCTCCCAGAGTAGATAGATGTAGATAAGATAAGTGCGGGGATTTGGGTTTAGGGTTTAGGGTTTAGGGTTTAGGGTTTAGGGTTTAGGGTTTAGGGTTTAGGGTTAGGGTGAAGGTGAAGGCTTGGAGGTTTCAGGGTGTGCCCTTTGAATGTGTATAGGATTTCGGGTTAATGTAGGGGCCCGAATAATCAGAACAGGGTTCGGGGTATAGTATACTATAATCAAAATAAGGAACCCCCAAACTAGTATAGGTAATTAGTTAGGCTCCTATATTAGGAGGTTAAGGGTCCGAATATTTTCCGTTCGGGGCTTCGGGCATTCTGTTTTTGGGCTGAAAGTAGCCGAACGCCCTGACATTGGCCAAGACAGGTCAGTAGCTCCACGCCCTAAATTCCGTGCTTGAACTTCTTGCGGACAGGCCTTCCTGCGACGCTTGGACGAACGGCTCGAGGACGCTGTGCCCGAAATGCGGTGTGAGACCCACACTTCCGAGACTGATGGTAATACGGAGGTTCGAACATTAAACCTATATATCCGCACGATCACTACATACAAGTTATTACTATACTAACAGACAAGAAGATATGTACTTCCAGAAACGTTACTCTAATTTTGAAGGCCCAAAACCCGAAACCCTAAACCCTCAACCCTCCCTACTTTTCCCCGAAGCCCCAACCAACGAAGTCCGACCCCGAAAGCCTCAAACCCACATCACTTTGTTCTCTTCGTGGCGATTTAGGGGTTAGGGTTTGGAGTCGCTTGTTCAGGGCTATCTATTCAAAGGGCCCAATATCCCTAAATTGAGTAATAGACCTCAAATCATAATACTAAGGCCCCCAGAATTTAAGGTCGATTCCTTACTTAAGGGGTATTGGGTTCTCTGGGTATCACCTAGGAACCCCAGTCGACAAGGGTTGTTTCTTGGCATCGTTTGGGGATTTTCGCAATGCTCCTCAAAGTGATAAGGTTTGAAGTTTTGTCGGTGGGGTTTAGGCCTTAAGGTTTAGGGTGGGGGATGAGTTCCGTCCACATCTCCCCCCTTTCCCACCCTTCCGGGTGAAAAGCACATGCCACAGAATGCTAAAACCACTGAGCCCCAAAGTCTCAACGCCCCACCCTAGAGCCCTAAGCGCTGAACTCTAAACCCTGAACCCTGAACTGCCGAGACCCAAGCCCGCCAAAAGATCCAAAAAAGAATCGGACCCTTCTTATGCAGAGGCTTCAACAGGTGGGAGGAAGGCACAGCATGTTTGAATCATCAGAACATTACCACAAACCTATCAACAAACATAGCGGCATAAGCCCTACAAACCCTAGACCCTAAACGCTAAGCCTGGGCTTTGGAGTACAATTATTTAATGCTGTTTTTGGACCTGTTCCTTAAAAGGAACCATTATGAAATAAAAGTCTATACCGTTTTTGACTTCAAGCCCAGCTAAGCCCCAGACGCAAGCCGTAATCCCTCACGACGAACGCTAAACCCTAAACCCTAAACCCTAAACCCTAAACCAAAACCCCAAACACCTAAACCCTAAACCCTAAAGCCTTCGACGCATTGGGAGGATATCGAGGCGTTGGGGTCGGAATTGAAGACGGCGGCTTGGCTTCTCTTTGTCGTCGAGTAGGAATTGGGTTTAGGGTTTAGGCGGTTTAGGGTTTGGGGTTTAGGGTTGGCTTCTCTTTGTCGTCGAGTAGGTAGGGGTTTAGGCCCTGAGAGCCCAATAGCCCCTTAATTAAGGAATAGGCCTTAAATCATCATAGTACCGCCCCTGTAGTTTAAGGTATATTCGTTCGTTCCTTTATATAAACCCTTATAGATCCTTTTCAGGAACCCTTATAGATCCCTTTAAGGCCCGATAACTTAAGATCTATTCCTTAATTAAGGGGTATTGGGTTTACTGTTTCGGGTCGTAGTCGAGTAGGTAACTTTCAAGCTTCGTTTTTTTCGGGTTTGGGGTTTGCGGTTTAGGGTTTTGGGTTTTGGGTGTAGGGGTTTAGGGTTTAGAGATTTAGTGGTTTAGGGTTTAGGGTTTAGGGTTGTGTTGAGCAGCTGGGGTAGCACAATCCTTACCCCAAGGGTTTAAAGGACCCAATAATCAGGTACGTAGGTTTCGGATAGTAGTTATGTGGGTTACTATTTGGGAGAGTATATCATTATCAGGTACTTGGACCCTTAGGGTTATATGATCCCCAAACCTCAATGCAATCTTTGGCCCGCCCTGAACCCTAAACCGTGAGGTTTGCAGGATACTAAATTCTAAACCCTAAATCCCAAACTCTAAACCCTGAACCCTAAACTCTAAACCCTAAACCCTAAACTCTAAACACTAAACCCTAAACCCTAAACCCTTTAGGATTGGGGTGTTTAGGTTTATTGCTTCGGGTTCAGGATTCCGGGTGCTTGGCTGGGGGTTTGAAGGGAGGATTCGGAGTGGCTCAGTTTTGGGATTTAGGAAGACATGAAGATTTGTAGATCACAATGGCAAGTGTGTACTTGTGTTTTGCTTTTCTTTTGCTTTTTTTTGGGGGGTGGAGGGCGGGGGGGGGGGGTGGTGGATCCACAGCTGCTGTGAAGGTTTGCATGTTGGCTTTGGGACTCAAGAAGCGGGCACAGATCTACCATGTTGATGTTTCTGCTGTGACGGTTTATGGGATTCTGCTTTAGTCTGGCAATTTTGTTTGTCGCTCTGGCGTTAGCTTCATGCGTACAGTGTGGCAGCATGGGGACTCATCAATATCTATATCTGTCTTTATATCTATATCTATATCTATATCTATATCTATATCTATATCTATATCTATATCTATATCTGTATCTATCTCTATATATATATATATACACCTATGTTAGTATTCAAGGACGTACAGTGGTAACGATTTGATGCAACAGCATCTACGTAGACTGGTCTGCAAGTGCTTGTTGATGTGCGAGTTGTTTTGTTTCGTCGGCATCATCCTCTTGCTCACATCTGCAGTCAGTGGCGCTGGCCCAGGCATTATCTTGCCCACATCTTTTCCCAAATACTTGCAAGCCCTTGTCTTTCTACAGCCGCGTAGTTATGCTTCAATCCCCCCCGCACTCTCTTTCAAGCTGTGTAGTATACCTGCCTACAACTTTCAAGATAGACCCCCTACCGCCCTATAACTAACTAACCTTGTGAAGGCCGCATAATCATCCCGTAAAACCATTTAACGATCTTGTAACCTTCTAAAACCCTTTAAACCCTCTGCAGACTCCTTACAACTTTATACAAATGCACAAAACCTGAGCCTGAAACGCGATCGGGCTGAATTCGGCCAGCCAGGTGCAAGGCGCGGCCGCGAGGTGCACTATGCCCCTGTTGCAGCGGATAGTTGCAGACAACTAGGATTAGGGATGTGGAGTTGAGGGGTTGTTCAGTGGGGTTTTGATAAGGCTTTCGCAGGGTTATGATGAGCATTGTATCAAGTTTCATCATCGGACCTTCACGAGGGTGTAACTGAGGCTTCTTGTGCGGTGGATTTTGTTTAGGACAGGGAGCCCCAACAGCAAGGGTCATGCTGTGGAGCTTAGGGCTTAGAGGGTTTAGGGTGTAAGCTCCCCTATTTTGTACAACCGCCGTATGACCGTACACCGTCAGACCGGTTGTCGAATTCAGGATCTCTTCTTGCCGGGTCCTCATACGGTTTAGGGTTTGCAAGGGAGCCCACGAGGGGAGCGTGCGGGCAAAGCGATAGGACTTTCGGCTTGGGGTGTGCAGTTTGCACTGTACATGTTGAGGGTTTGTCATTGAGTTTGTATGGGTTGGCGCTGACTTCGGCACATGAGGTGCAATCGGAAGATTCTGAGTTTATCAGTGGAGGGACTGTAGATTTGTTTGAAGACACAAGTCAGAAGAACCAGTAAGAGGCATTGGTGGTGATGTTTTTTGCTTTCTTCTCATTATTGTGTGTACCGCTGATGTGGCTCATCCTAAAGCGCTAAATTGCCTTTGGCCAGGATTTGGTGGGGGCTAAACCCCTAAACCCTAAACCCTAAACCCTAAACCCTAAACCCTAAACCCCTAAAAGCATACGTGCCAACTCATGTCAGTCCAGAACTTCCACCTGCATTCCTGGAGCCCACTAAACCCCAAACCGGAAGCCTAAACCCCAAACCCTATAAACACCCAAAGCCCTATAGGGTTTAGGGTTCAGGGTTTAGGGTTTCAAAGCGTAGTTTCCGTTACCATAATTCGGGATCTCTAGTAAGCAATAAGGTTTCCGTATTATGGCATCTTACATTCAATCCTTTAACCTTCAACCCTTATAGAACCCTAAACCCTAAACAAACCCTAAACCCTAAACCCTAAACCGTATAGAACCCTAAACCCTAAACCCTAAACAAACCCTAAACCCTAAACCCTAAACAAACCCTAAACCCTAAACCCTAAAGCGTAGAACCCTTGAAGGATCGTTACCTTTGAGTAACTTTTTTGCAGGGCCTGAATAAGACTGTCTGGTGCTTCGTAGGGAATGGGGGAATGGATCCCTATGATAGTCCCTTACGGTCCCTTATAGTAGTCCCCATAACCCATTCGCCCATTCCGTACTAAGCACCAGACAGAAGAACCGGGTTGTTTGGGCATCCGTGCCTCCGGCAGGTTAGAAGAGCTTCGGAGAGGCAGGCTGCCAACTTTTTGGGCGGCTCCTTTAAGTTTGGGGTTTAGGGTTTAGGGGGATCCATAAGGGATGTTATGTTGGGTTCCCTTATGAGAGAGTCGATATTGCCTGGGTAGCGTTTGTGGGCAGAAGAACCTTGATCGCGAAGGCCGTGCTGAAGAAGTTCTCAGAGATCCCAATCTCCTTTGATTCGGGCATACATCTTCATTTACAGGGGACTTAATATCATGATTTTTATAAGTTATATTTCCTGAATACTTGGGACTTCCGGGTGTCTAAATTTCCCTGCTGGTTTCTCTAAGGGTGTCAGGGGTTTTGGTGACGGTTTCGATGAGGTTTTCTGTCAGAGCTCCTATAGGAGTTTACAAGGCCGAATCCATAAAAGCATTAATTACTTCTCAGGAGGTTCATTAAGTACTGAAAGGGTTGAGGGTTTAGGGTTTAGGTTTAGGGACTTCTCAGGAGGTTCATTAACCACTGTAAGGGTCACATTTGGGGGATGCAGAATGGGACCCTCGTCTAGAGAACTTCTATAGTATAGAAATTCCTGGTGGTCATACTGTTGATGGACAAAATTCTGCATGACATAAATATAGTATAGGACCATAAATCCCATAGTTTAGGTATATAAAGTCATGCAGGATTTTGTCCATCAACAGTATGAGAGGGTAGCATGAGGCTTCCGAACCAGAGGAGCAAGGAAGAGGGACCTTACATTTCTGGACCCAACAAGTGGGTGTGTAGTTCTCAAAATTAAGGTCCCGTTTTAGGGTCCTTATTATAAGGGTGCCGTACTATATTGGGGACCTAAAAAGGGACCGTAATTTAGAGAACTACCCAAGTGCGATAGGGTGTAGGGTGCATGGGTCTTTTTTTGGCAATGCATGGAATTTCGAGTAATCGCCAGCGTAGGTATAAGAGCGTGTCCAAAGCAGCAACGTTGAGAATCAACGAAATGGGAAGGCGCAGCAGTTCATACCATCAAGGTTGTTCAAGACCAAGAATGCCTGTACAATAACACCATCCGGCTAATCCGACAGCATCCCCCACCATTGCATGTTCGCGGCAGTGAACCCTCAACCCTAAGTAGTAACCTTAAAACCCTCAACCCTAAGTAGTAACCTTAAAGCCCTCAACCCTAAGTAGTAACCTTAAAGCCCTCAACCCTAAGTAGTAACCTTACAGCCCTCAACCCTGAGTAGTAACCTTAAAACCTCAACCTTAAACCCTCAACCTTAAGTAGTCGGATCCTTCTCATAAGGGTCTTTACAAAAATTCAATAAGGGATTTAAGGAAAATGCCTTAAGTTATTAGGGGCCTAAACCCCCTAAACCCTAAACCAATATTATGCTTAAAGGTATATTCCTTAATTACGGGGGTATTGGGCTCTCTGGGTATCCTGAGAAAAGGCCGGTTTTAGGGCTTTGAGGGTTTGAGGCTTTAGGGCTTCGGGGATAGCATTTAGGGTTTGGGGCGTAAGGCTTTAGGGGTTTGGGTTTATTGGTTTGGGTTTAAGGCTTTGGGGTTCAGAGTTTAGGGTTTGGGGTTTCAGGCTTTAGGGGTGTGTGTTTAGCGTTTAAGGCGTTGGGGGCTTAAGGCTTTAGCGTTTAGGGTTTAGGGGCTTAAGGCTTTAGTGTTTATGGGCAAAGTACGAGCGGAACTTGTCGGATTGCCCCTAAACCCTAAACCCTAAACCCTAATGCTCTCGTGGCTGCTGGCTCGCAGAGAGTGGCCGGCCCCCACCATGACGCACTCCCTTCAGCCGCCCAGCTGACGTGGAGCGGGTTTGGGGTTTAGGGTTTTCGGTTTTGGGTTTAGGGTTTAGGGTTTGAGTGAATGGCGTGCCTCAGCGAAGTAGGCGAAGTAAGATGTCCGTAAACTCCATACCCCCCCCCCCAAAAAAAAGACGCCAGAGCCCCATATCCCCGTAGCCTGAACCCCAAACCGTAAGCACTCAATTCCCCGAGCCCGAAACCCGAAATTATCCACCCTAAACCCTAAACCCTAAGCCCCAAACCCTATAAACCCTAAGGTCTGTCTTCTCGATTTGCCCGGAAACTCAATGTCCCTTGTTACAGTTTTCCCCGCCCTAAAAGTGATTTTCAGGCTGCGATGTAGGGTTTAGGGTTTAGGT